TCTCTTCCCCTTTTTCTTCTCTCCCCCCCATCATTCCCTCTTAACATTCACTCGAGTCTTCATCCCTCCAACTTTTCGGCCACAGAGACAGATGGAATCCATGGTGATGGCAATCCATTACTTCTTGCAATATGATCAATATATCGGATCGAGCGCCGCGTTGATATGGGCTATGACTTTGAATATCAAGTCAAGAGAACATGTTACATGGAGAGAGAATGGTGAGTTATGGATTTGGAGTTTGGGGATTGCTGTTTTTGCGGGACCGGGGGGAGCGGTGGTGTGGCTTTTGAGGGAGAGGGATTTGAGGGTTGGTTTGGGAGGGGGGAAGTAGGGTATGTAAATGGAAATGGAAATGTAAATCAGATTCCGCTAAATTATAGTGTAAACATGAAATCGACACCGAATGAAATTATTTTTAGGATTTCACTCAGAGTTCTCTTTACGATGTTTCTCGCTTGCTAAATACACGTTTATATAAAAACACGACGCCTAATCCAATCTCACAATCGATTATCTTCCTAAACTATCCGACTCCTTGGGCTGGAATTAGGTTTATTGTAGTACCTATTTATATGAAATATTAAATTCAATTCCAATTTCAACCCTTAGGAATTCAGTAATCTCACAAGAGAATCCTCAGATAGAATAAATGCTAGAGAGTCTCTTAAAGACCCTCGTCAACCAGATTTATATATAACCCGCTCCCCTAAAACCCCCAATGCCATTTTCACACATACCATACTGAGAATCACAATTTTGCCATAACAAATAACAAATAACAACCCCGATGTGTGAACACATGGGGTGAGTCTGATTTAGGAATACAGAACACAGCACACAGAATGAAAAAAAATAACATCCATACCCACCCATCACCTCACCTCACCTCACCTCACCTCACCTCCCACAACCAAACACACAACCAAACACACAAATCACAAAATACAAATCCACTCGAGCGCTCCATATACCTACCTACCTACCCATATACCTACCTACCTACCCACCTACCTACCCACCTACCCACCTAACTAGCCACTCAGATCCCAAACAAGAAGTAATACCTATCGCTCGCGATCAGCTAGCTATTCGGGAGATTTTCTCTCAACTTCTTGATTTGAATAAATAATAATAATCATTAGTATTAACTAGGTAGGTAGGTATATTAATATAGTGAGGAAATCTCGATAGATGGATGTAATATATAAAATATCATATGAAAAAATATGCGGCTTTTCTTAATGTTCTTGAAGATGCTAGATACTTACCAGTACGTATTATATCTTGAGTAGAATTATATACTAACAAATTTACCTCTTTATATTGTAATAATCAAATCCATATAGATATAAGCAAACAAGCAAACAAGCAAAAAAGCAAATACACAGTCATGAAAATCTTACAATGCTAAAATCTCATATTGGTATCAATAAAAAAGGTCATTAAATACACCGCCTGCTTTTCCACCTAAAATCGCCCAGCCCAGTAATGCCTTCGCTTCCACTTCCCACTTTCCATTCCTTACTACTATTTCCATTTATTATCAAGAATAATCCGCTATCTCTCCCCTTAGGTAATTTTTCCCATTCACAAACAACGATGAAATTTCGTATTCCTCTGCAGCCAATAACCCCTTTATACCGCACTGTCCCTGATTATAACTACTTTGTCTACTTCTTCTTGCCCTTCCCTTTATCGCTTCCACCTTCCTTCTCTCCCACCAACTTCAATAGCAACTCCTTGAGTTCTCCAACTTCCTTCCTCAACTCTCTTACTTCACAAGTCGCCTCATCACTCTCCACATTTGGTACAACGCCCTTGACTCTCTTTTCCCAGCCCTCTCCTTCGAAATCCACTTCACCATTCAATTGTTCCCACTCCTCCACTGTATCATCATCATCATCACCTCTCTGTCTATTTCCCTTGACTCTTACGGCGCTTCTTTGTTCAAACCAAGCTGCTATTAACAGCAATGGAGAATAGATGACTGCCATAACATAATCATTAAGTTTAGCATATTGTTTCCTTGGCATCCACCATTCGCAAGGAAGAATGAGGAAGAAGATTTCAATCAGATTAGTTGGTGCGATGAAGACATTCTCATCTGGGGCTCTGACAAATTGCATGGTCTTCTGAGAGAAGAGTGCCATATATTCATCAATGGCATTATCCGTAATATCCTCATAAGCAGAGTTGTAAAGCGCAATGAGAATATTGAGCAGAACTACCATGATAAGGAATGTGAAGATGTAATAAAGAATAATTCCGAAAGGTGGAGCGAAGTTGTCAAAACCGGAAAAATCTGGGGATTGCATGACAGCGTTGGCCATTGCTTGAAGGATGAATGTAGCGGAGTCGACATGAGAATCGGCCATGTCCATACCAATGAATGCTTGTAAGAAACCAATGATGATGACGAATAAAAGGGCGAAGAAAATGAGAGATTCTTTCATCATTACTTTGATAACGACAAGCATAGCTCCAAAGAAGCGAATGGAATCGAGGTAGAGTAATAATCTCATCCAGAACATTGGTGCAGAGAAAGCTATAAATGTTAGTAATTTTCAGCCATTGAACAAAGTTTAAACTAAACATACCCAAGAAATTATAACTAAGCTCATTGAACTTTCCTCTCTTCCCATCATCATCTTGTAGCGGGTGGCCAAGAGCAATAATTCTCGTAATCAAACTTGTCGTTAGAAGGGCATAAAGAATCACATTGAAGACATTCCAGAATCCAATATAATATCTTCCAACCTTCCAAAACTTGCTTGCCTCATCACATATGAAACCAGCTGTGAAGATGTAAAGGATGATTTCCACAATATCCAAATCTCCACTTGGATTGACTGTACTAATAGCACCCGTGTACAAAGCCAAATAGATCAGTGAGAAGATAATCTGAGTAGCGTTTTGGTATATGGGTGCGCGCATGCGATCTGGATCAACATGAGTCCAGTAATATGTATTGTCCTTTTTCTTATAATCGACGAATTGAGAAGGATCGTTCTCATCTTGTACGAGCCATCCTCTCCAGAGGTAATTGACGCATTTCTGATATCCCGAAGAACCGGTAACACGTAGAGCATGAAGATCTACTGCTCTTTCGATAACATTCGCAGGTGCAGTTTGCTCTCCATCGACCAATACCGAATATCTTTTCAACAACACATTTTGTAAAAGATAATCTTGATCTTCTTCCGTTTCGATTCTAGCCATATGTCAGTCTCTTACTTCCCTCAATCGCTTCCTATTCCGATTCCGAATTCAAAACATAGAAGCAGAAGACTCACAATTGTTTCGCAATAACCTCACAAGCCACCGCTCTCACATTATGTAAATCTGCATCCCAAAGTTCTAGCATAGCCTGTTTCTTAAACCATCTCTTACAGACCAACAATGCATATACTACACAAGCACCATAATCTTTTCCTCCTGCCTCCTTTGCGGCTGCAATAACCTTCCTAGTTATGATTTTCGAATGTGCGCATACGATATTTGCTTCTTCGAGTTCGCATGGTACGGCTTCTTCAATGAGGTAACGGAGACGAAGTGCAGTTTTAGTTACTTCAAGAGGAGGAATTGCGCTGGGTAGTTCATCGTCGCGATAGGAAGGAAGAACTGAGAGATGTTAGTTGATGGTTTTTGTGAGTTGTGAGTTGTGAACTGTGATTTGTACAAATGCGCAATTCGTTATGCGACTCGACGGAATACAAGCAAAAGAGAAGAAAGACTTACGACGACGAGCCTCATCGCGCCAAAGATGTTGATCTGCGCTATTCAACAGAGTATCAGTATCGATTGCGTTATCCACACCATTGATAGCTCATTCCTCCAAGCTATCATATATCGCGGGGTTCACCAACCTTCCATCCAAACCGAAGAGCTTTCTCCATTGAACCATTTTGCATGCAATGAATTGCAATAGCGCCCGTCTCAATTGCGATTTCCTTTCCCTGAACGACAATGCAATGGTGTCAAAACAATTTGCTTCGAGAGGAAAAATGACTTATCGCATTGATGTGTTTACTCGGAAGTTGTTGGTTTTGCCAATTCGCGTTCTGTGCCATGTGCATCCACTTCCAAGATTTGCTTTCTATCAAGCCTATTTGGATTTCTTTACTTGGCAGATAGGCGGTGGATAGCACCTGCTCAGTGAGCCGAGCCGGGTGAGCTTAAGTTTTATGATATGACGTCCAGTGGTGCCAGCAAAAGAGTGAGTGAAAGGGCATTTTATTGATTGGCAGTACGATATGAAGCGATAAACTTGAGAATACAGACTTTGAAAATTTGAAGATATACTTTTGCTTATTGTCTTGGACAGCGATAGATGTGGAATTGATTAACTGACTGACTGTACTACTGAGAGTATGATATTGGTAGGGTCTAGCTAGCTACTCCGGGCTATGTGATGTGAGATCATCTGTGGCGCATGATAAACCTCACGAGCCACAAGAGCCACACCCGCTCAATCGGAAAGTTTCATAGCCACAAGTAAACCACGCCTTAAATGTACCGATATCAGAGACATTGATTGATCAACTACATCCTACAATCAACAAGAAGATCCTTTGTGTTAAATTAAACTTCATTATAATCATAATCTCAATGGTACCAGAACTTAAACCCTTTATATATATAGAGGCAAAACATCATTTCGATCTATCAATATTCGACGCTCTCAACCAAATTAAATGGCCAACCGAACGTGTTCCTGGTATCCAGCCCTTCTGTTCTGTGTAGATCCAATTCCTCAAGATGTTCTAAAAACTCCAAGATGTGACGCCGGCGGGGGTAATTCTTGATACGTGTTCATACTCAATATCGTAAGTAGAACAGCCATATCTCACCCTGGTATCATATCCATATATCGTACAAAACTTTCGTATACTTTTTTCCTGTGTGTATTTTCCCTCCTTTTTGAAGCCCCTTCATCGTTTGACTTCGAGCCGAGAATTTACGTCATTCGAACAAAACGGAGCGGTATAGCGTAGTCCCTATTGAATGTTTCTCTGCGAATTCCTATTTCCTTTCCACCCCAAAATCTGACTCTGTTCCCATTCTCCTGGCGCAGAATGCCTATTAGCACTCGTCACAGTGACCTTTGTCTCTTTCAAAATATGTTTCTGACTTTCCCCATCATCTTTTTCAATATCCGAATCCCCTAGTTGAACGAATGTATCCAGATTGATATCCGATCTCTTCCCTGTTCCGTGTTGAGTGCGCGGTACATTTCCATTCTTTCCTGATGTGGGATTGTTGGAGTTTCCGGTAGTACTGAGATTGAGGAAGGGAAGGGATAAGAGAGGACGGAGGGCAGGGAGAGATCCGGCGAAGATTCCCATTGCTTCTTCGATGACGGACCAGAGTCCTATGCGACCGGTACCGAACATGAATTCGGAGGGATCACTGTAGAGTGATAGGTAGCGAAGTCGAACGATTGTTGCACAGCTTGCACTGAAGATGAGTTAGTCTCAAGCCATCTTCCAAATACCCAAGAAACCAAGAGAACTCACAAAGCAGCCAATCCCAAAATACAAGCCACCGACACCTTAACTCTACTCTTCATCTGAATATTCCTCAACAACACCGCCGGCAGAATCGCTAATGCCCAATCCGTTGCGATTTCCACGGCCGAAAAGAACAAACTAACATCACTGTTCAGTTGCAAATTACACACTCCATTTGATTCTCCCCATAGAGTATTAATCGGATGACATATATTCGCAATGCCTATCATGAAAATAAGGGCAGAGATAGCGGTCATGATCATAATACCCCAGACGGTATAAACATAGCGACGACGGGTATCAGCGATACGGAGGAGAGTTACTGCAATACTGCATTTGATAGCGACAGCACCAGTAGCGTAGAAGAATTCAGCAATGAAGAAGAGCTACGGGATTATCAGTATGATAGAAACCTTGAAACTTATTCCTCAGGGAAGACAATAAATAGTACATACCTTAGTCCCCCTCGCAATTTCATGCGCACTCAAGTATTTAGCCTTCTGGCCACTTCCATAGAAACTGCACACAATACACAGACTACTCGTGACAGTAAATAGCAACTACTCATCCATTACCACATTAGCATCAAATTCTCTCCCCAAACACACCCACTTTTTGAAGAAGTCAAGAAAGGGAACACCAAAAAAAAACATACCAAACCAATCGACATAACAATATCATCCAATCCCCAAATTTTCCTCCACAACCTCACACCCGCACGCATGGAAAAAGTAATCCAACACAACGCCAGCAACAAAATCGAGGTCCAAAATAATGCGACTCCATCCCCTGCGATCTTCGACATATTTGCGGTTCTGCTCTCGTCACACTTCGTCGATTTGTTGCCAACCAGCTGATCTCAAGATCAAGCTCAATAACCACACCGAACACACAAAGTAGGCAGGTATGTAAGAATCGTAAGATAAGATAAACCAAACGTGCAAAAAAAAAAAAGACCACACTGATACAGATACTGATACTAAGATTGGAAAGTATACGCATGCATATTAGAAATCCAATCGCACGAATGCGAAAATAAAGTACAGTGCAGTAGTTATCTACTTAGCACTTAGTTTCCTTCCCAGTCTTGATATATCTCCATAGATCATAATGATCAAAAAATCTCATTCCAGATCCCTCCCCTTCGTGATACTTTAGGATATTCCCTGCGCGTGCATTGCATGCTGATAGGGTGGAAAGTGCCCGAGAAAACATAATTCGAGACTTCCTGGCTCGAATCATATGGGTACGGTGTTCATGTCATTCCTCTTTGGGATTGTTCATATGAAGAATTCTAAGTGCCCTCGCTCGGCTCGATTGGTGGTGGACCCGAGACCAAGTTCTGAGCTTCTTTACTTCTTTAGTGTGGGAGCTTGGTAGGGGTGTGATTCCTACTTTTATGTACGGTGTGCACTTGGTATATCTGGAAGGATAAAGTCTAGAGTGGAAGGAAAACCTCGTGTTCGAGAGATTCATTGTTGTGATAGGGTAATGCAGCGTTGATTAGTCGTGTCTTGACGGCGTCCTGACTGAGAACTGATATATCACTAATGAGTTGAACTACCGGCGATACATTTCTCATCCGCGCTCCATTCCTTTTTAGTTCCAGAACTATATTCATAATTCAAAGCTTTTCTCTGAGTATACACCTAGGTAGTGTATAAATCGATAGCCATTATTGAATTAATTATGGAATCGTGAACAATAGACTGTCAAGAGTCAAGACTCAACTCATTAGTATCAGACCACCAATTCAAGGGGTAACGAATCGCAGCATCCCCTCCGCTTAAAGCTTGTTCGGAGCAAAAAACTCTCAAAATTACGCTGAATATCATTTCCATGTGTTCCCATTGGAGAATTGGCTCACGAATCATGATCTTCATCGACACCAGGGACTGTGTTCTTCGAGTTTCCCTTTTAAAATCGTTGACAAGGGCTCCTATCCAAGTCAAATCTTAACAAAAGTGGGATACATGTTCACAGAGTCCCTCGCCGCGGCAGTTACATTTACAGTAAGATCGACCATTCCAAACAGCATCTCCAACGGGTTTCCACACAATTGATACAGAAAAAATAAACAGCATGGGGGACATCCATGAACGCACGCTCAACTTGCGTGGAGCCCTAGAACTCCAATATGAAATATATTATTACTCTGCCTAAGCGACTAAAAGCTCCACATGGTGGTATCGGCGATACTGTATTTGTTTTAAAATTCATTCGGTCCCTGGTTCAAGCCTTCAAGGTCGGTTAACATAACCCTGAAGCTTCAGAATCCAACTTTTTTCTCCAAGTCGGAGATCTCAGTCACATGTTTTCAAATTTCCTCGCTCGAAAGACTTTCGTAGCCCATGAACCTAATCTTAATTCGCTCCACCCGAAAATTCATTTAATTCGTAGCCTACGGCGCTATATCCTCCCAAGAGGGCCAGCCCGAGGTTCCGCATGAAGTGTCAAATGTATACAGAGTAGACCAGTTCTACTAGTGAGGGACCAGTGCCCCACTAACAGCTGTCATGTTGAGCTTTGAGGGGTTGTTTAAGCTTGCTGTTGTCCTTGAGGTTTTCCTATCATATCAATTGTGATTTTCCCATAGTTCTTCCTTTGTACCAGAATCTATCATATTGTACTATTCACAAGAAACAACACCAATCGCATACATACATATATATACATTTATACATCATGTCTGAAATCATTATCAAAAACGAGGATTTAGCCAGTCTTAAAGGCAAGGTTGTCATTGTGACAGGTACGTTACATTCATCGTACATCAATACCACGTAGACGAGTTCCCACACCTGCGTACCTTACATCTACTCCTCACAACCCCTCATACTCACGTAAAACCCCTCATTCTAGGCGGTTCCTCAGGAATTGGTCTCGCAACCATCGACCTCCTCTTATCTCTCGGAGCCTCCGTCGTCAGCGCAGACATTAACCCTCCACCCACACCAATCTCCTCCCCCTCCTTCCTCTTCGTCCAAACAAACGTAGCCATCTGGTCTTCCCTCGCTGCTCTCTTCAAAGCCGCTGTCGAAAAATTCTCCCACATCGACTATGTATTCGCCAATGCTGGAATCGGTCCTCGAGGAAACTATATCGCCCTCGACACCGACGAGAATGGAGATCTCAAGGAACCAGTCCATGAAGTCTTGGAAGTAAACTTCAAGAGCGTAGTCAATACCGCTTGTTTGGCAATCCACTATTTAAAGCAAAATGCTCAGGGAGGAAACATCGTACTCATGGGATCAAGTACTGGATTACAACCTTTGAGAGCACCTGATTATTGTAAGATACCTTCCCCTTCTCCCAATTCCCCAAAATTGAACTATAAACTAACAACCCCCAAGCCGCAGCCAAAGCAGGAGTCCTCGGTTTCGGCCGCTCAATCCAACGAACCATCAAAGCAGCAAAACTCCCCATTCGAGTCAACACCCTCGCACCATCCTGGACTTCCACCCAGGTTTTGCCTAATCTCGATGGTATCATGGCTGCCATTTCTCACAAGGCGCAATCTTGTGATGTTGTAGCTAGAAGCGCAGCATTCTTGATGACTACAACTGATAGAGAAGGAGACATCTTATACGTATCTGATGGACGTATCACCGAGATCGAACAGAGTATCTTGGCTCCAGCCTATGCGGCTATCAAGGGTGATGGACCAAGTGATGATGAGATTTTGGAGCGAATTTTTGGATTGGGTGCATAAGGGATGATTCATGAGGTGTGATTGGCGTGAAGATTCGGATGTTTAGCATGTCAGTAATTGGCATCGATGATTTGGCTTGTTTAGATGAAGAGATACCATATTTATGTACTCGAGTATGTATGCATTACCTAGTTATGAATAAAATTTGAGCTATTCATGACCATTTTGCCATTTCCATCTCCCTAAACTGCTATACACTGATCCTCCAACTCATACTTCTCTGTGAATGTACAGCATGGAAAATAAAATATATCGGCGATTATCTCCTCTACACCTATCTACCGAAATTCAACAAGTACCGTTCGAGCTATTCATCGGCACCTGAGACAAACATTAGGGATCTACATCCTCCCATCCGCACCGCCCGTCAACTGACAATCATAACCATTTTGCCATCGCACACCCCCTTCTCCACAAAAGCACGAAATGCAACTTGGCAAGTGCGAACAATAGGGAAACTCCAGCCGATCTTCTCAAACACATGATTCCCAGCAGCAATGCGATAGAATTCCACCTAGCCAAGAGCGGATGTACCCCTTACGCAAACCCATCCATCATCCATCCTTCCTCGAGCCTTCGTTCGTACAAGAAGATTTCACAATGTTTCACCTCCCCGGTATTTGCATTGATCACACAGCATATTTCCCAATTGGGGCGCCCTCATCCGCTCCTAGATGGCATTCGGAGATAATGCCGAGATCCTTGATTCATCGTTCTCTAGCGTTGTGAGCGAATAGACCAACTTTCAGTCCCGGCAGATTAATTTTGTTTTTTAGCGAGCTCAAGAACGAATGTACTGTCGTGTATGTACAGAGTATGTAATTTTTCTCCTCGTGATTTGTCTATCGCCGTAGCAAGAATCAAGATCGAGTATCAGAGCCGACTGGGTGTTCTAAAACGGGATATTCAAGACTTTCCCCCATCCATGCATGCATGCATGAGATAGAAAATCAAAAGAACGAAAAAATTGATCTATGTAGGTACTCGAAGAACCCCAGAAAAAGAACAGAGCTTCGATACAAATGATATGAAATGATATGAAATGTGATCAAGTAACCTTGACTTACTTACTACTCACTCACCCATGCCGCATGCATCCAGCACCCAAGCAACCCCACTACCAAAAGAACCCAAATGTGTCCTCTATAGTCCACCATCTTGTGATATATACATCCAGCTTCAGGGTTACATACATTGTATCACCTGATAGGACGAGTAAGTAAGCAAGCTCCTGCGAGGAAATATGAGACTCCCACTGCCCGCCGCTCTTTCTTCAGCCTCAACGCTCTAATTCTCAGCTTCGCTGACGGTAGCATATCTCTATCAGAACTACAATAAAAAGTATGTTCATGAAAGAAAGAAAGAAAGAAAGAAAGAACACTCTAGATCTTCAATTTCTTTCCAATTTCAATATTCCCCAGGAAACCAAAATCTACTAGTAGGTAATGTATCTTTTGTTCAGTGCTACAAGTTGTCTTCATCAGATTCTACATCTCATATGAATCACATGGAATCTCGAGTACCTCTTTCATTTATCGATCCCTCCTATACTCCAAAGCGGCTAAGATCAGAGAATTTAACGACTAGGTGTCTATAAGAAGAGTAGAGATCTACTTCTTGCATGAGGAAAGTACCAGGTTTATTCGAGAGCTTTGATTGGGCTTCGATGTCAATAGAGAAGGGGTGGTGTTTGATACCAGCTTACACAGAGATTGCACATGCATAGACATATCCAAACACATATCCATAGCCATCAACTAGTTATCTTTCGTATCTGATACTTGATATCTAAATCGTCCATAGGATTTACATTAGCTGGACTGACGGACCTCCATCTATCAACATTTAAACATCCCATGATACAGACCGTCAGACCTGATACCAGACTCTTTCATTCTTCAGAGAAAGCTTATTTCGGCATCTTGGAGAAGGTGAAATGCGAATATATTCAGTGTTTTCATGACATTCGAGATGTAGAAGATGCTACATATTCCGGAGAGAATCAACACAAAATGAAGCCAAATGAATACCCATTAATCGTAAAATATCAAAACACAACGGACAGAATGATGAAAATCCCAATAGTAATCTATAATATACAATCTACCTGCGTATCGTATCTACTTTGCCATTGATAATATTCATGATCTACCCTTGGCCTTGATCTTTTTCTCCAACTCCTCAATCTCTCTTTGAGCCTTTTCCTCCTCTGCCTTCATCGCCTCCAACTTCAAATCTTCAATCCTCTTCTGTTCCCTTGCAAGTTGATCTGGTCTTCTAATCGCGATATCCTTTGGTTTGTAATCACTGAAAAGAGCTTTAAGCACCTTTTCAATAACAAAACAAGCAAGATAATCCACAATCATCGTGGTCGTCATTACTACTTTAAAATCATATGAGAATGGAACCAATTTCATTTTCTCATTAACCTCAGGAATGAATTCAGTCGAACAAGAGAAAGCGATCGCGGAGACACCAATGATACCGTAGTACATTCCTTTGTTTTCGGAAATGGCTTCACGGAATGGACGACCTTGATAATTGATTGCGAATGTGGAAATTTGTTGAATCAGTTGAAGAAGATAGACAGCGCTGTTTAGGAGAGATGGAGCGAATTCTCCTTCGAGATCAATGTCTGGGTCACGTCTGATGAGGTATTAGTACTTGTTGCGCGGGCGAGAATGAGAGAAAGGTTTAACTTACGGAGCAATCTTATCGCAGAAACGAGCGATGTAGATGAGTGTAACGATATGAACTGCAAATTGTCCAAGAATAGATCCAATGATATAGAAGTTGAAGATATTTGGCTGAGGTCTTTCTTTGGATAGACCTTCCACGGACTTAGCCCGGGAAATTGACAAAAAGCAAACACTCATGAGCATTCCACTAATTGTCACTTGGCCATCACCAAATTTAATACCTTCGAGATACAACACACTCAAACTGTAGGCGCTAATGAGACAATTCAAAGCGAGGATTTTGTACATTTGAATAGTTGCAACGAGTGTACAACGACCTTGACGAATGATGTTGGGAATGGCAATGACGTTACTCAGTTTACTGGTGAACGGGGCAGCGACGGATGCATCACCAAGCTTGATTGTAGGTGGCTCGTCGTCATCCATTTCTGCCTCCATCAGACTTTGTGTCATTTTATCAGCAAGACTAGCTGCTTTCTTCTGTGCATCATTCAAAGTCGGCTTATTTTGCTGACCATTAATCAATGCTTGAGCGCCAGGCGAAGTAATCGTTTCCACCTCATCAGTTTTATTTTTGTTAGCAGCTGTCTCCATAAGAGCCACAGAAATACCCTTCTTATCAGCTTCCCGTTGAATAGCTTTATCATAGTGTGGATTTTTAGGTCCTGGTGGATACAAGTGTGCAATCAATATGGGTACTGGAGGAGTTGGTTGATTGAATCGTGTCATCATCTGGCATTGCTTCTCGTAAAGCTCTTTCATTTTGTTGTTTCTGAAATGTTCGGCAATCTTGTTGAGATCCTCTTGCGAACCATTGAGTAACGCAATACCGATATGTGCTTGCTTCAAGGCTCCAACGTCGTTTGTTCCATCACCAGCCATAAGAGTATGATAACCAAGATCTCTCAAACCGGTAAGAATTTCTTCTTTTTGTTTTGGAGATACACGAGCATATACCCATGCGTAACGGTAAATGGTAGAAAGTGCAGATTGATCCTTGAATTTAGACAAAGCGTAACCAGTGACACACAAGTCATTATTCTCGATAATCTTCTTGTCAATAGGCTTGGAAGGATCAACAGGAATGCTGATACTATCATCAACGCTTCTCCATACAAGCTTCTCCCCTGAATCATCGTGTTCTGGTGCATCAAGAATGAGGACATCTCTATCCACAATTTCAACTTCTCTGGCAACATGGATGGCGGTCAGAGGATTATCACCTGTGATCATAACGACACGGTGACTACTTTCATTGAGCATTTGTACAGCCTTCTTCGCGTCATCTTTGAGAGGGCAATGTAAGACTAAGAAACCAGCGAAATGTAATTCGCTCTCCACTTCTTCACGCTTTAGATCATTGATTTTGCCAGAGCCAAGTTCAGACTCGGTAGATAGATATTTATAGGCCAAAGCAAGAACACGCGATCCTTTTCTGGTAAAGTATTTGTAGGTTTCTTCGTAATCCGCGGGAACCTTGACCAACATTCTCATGATAGTTTCCGGAGCTCCTTTGACACCAACGAAAGTAGAACGAATCTTCTTGCCAGTTTGGGTATTGAGAGCGGTCAATGAGGCGACAGAGCTTTGACGTTTAAGGGCAGACGAGAATTGGAAACGGCGTTTGATTTGAACCGAAGATGAGGGTGCACCAGTTTGAATCTTGCTAGACAAGATGTCATTTCGCCCAAGTGTCCAGCCCAACGAAGTCAATGTAGCTTTCTCCATAGGATCTCCGACAATATCGCCCTCGTCCAATTTGACTAGGGCATGAGCTGTAGCGAGCACATATGTGGTCTCCAACGAAGCTTGTAGGACAGGGGTGATATGGCTGTGGGCACCATCGTTTTCACGAGGGGTATCGGTACCGGAATGGCCTAGACCTAAACCAGCAATACCTTCAACGACCAAATCTTCTCCAGTCAATGTACCGGTCTTGTCGAAACATGCGACATCAACGCGCCCGGCAAATGGAATGCGGAATGGTTCGGTGCAATAAATAGCATAACGACTAAGAGCTGCCAAACTAGTATTGACTGCAAGACTGAGCTCCATGGGCAATTCCGGGGGCACGACACTGGTAACAATCAAGACACAATCAAGCAAAAGCTTGGATCGCTTTCTGTCCTTTCTCACACCTTCATCCCAAACATACCAAGATGCAGCGATTGCGAAAATCAATAAGAAAAGAATGAAGAACAATGCTTCAGCATTATTGGCAGATACCCGCTCGGTAGAATAAATCATGGTTCGAACCAAACTTCCCTGCGATGTCTCGAATCCAGTTTTTACCACAATGGCCATAGCACCATTGTCCGGGGGAGATGGAACGCCTGAAGCGATCTTTGGTCTTTCCTCATCGGTATTTCCATGTGTAATTTGTAGAACTTTTGTTCCTCCATAAAGGAATGCATTCTTGTCAAGACCTTCTGGCTCTAATACTGCATCACCGGGTCTGAGTTGCACTGAATCCTTCAATAATGGGGTACTTTCTCCAGAAAGCATAGCTTCGTTCACAATGGCGCTTCCTTCAACCAAAATCATGTCGCAAGCTACACCACTATCCTCCTTGGTTCGGCCAACTGAAACGAGATCTCCCGGTAGAAGTTTATCGCTTTGCGTTTCCTCCCATTTGTTCAATCGGTAAACGAAAATATCGTATGGCTTAATACTCATTCCTCGAAATTCGGTCAAGGTCCTTTGGCGTTGCCAGACTACTGTGCTCTCAAATCCTACCAACATGACCAGGGTAAATAAGGAATAGTACCAGTAATCATCCAACATCCATAACCCAACACAAAAGATTTGGAAGACGAAGAACGGTGCGACTGCATGTTCTTTGAACAATTCTGAAAAAGTAGGGACCGGGATATCGAAAGTGTTATCGCCATAATGTTGATGAATTCTGGAAAGCTCAGATGCCGAATCAATACCTCTAGACTTTTGATATGTCTCCAATAGTGGCTTTGGCTCTTGATCTATTGAGTATGTCAAGGGTGCAAACGAGTTCTTTGATGGATCGTAGAGGAATCGACGTTTTTGAAAGAGGAAAGAAACATTGCTTTTTCCACCAGCCTTAAGAGGAGTTAGTCAAGACGACTGTGGGAGAACAGCAATCAACCTACATTATCTCTTTCTATTTTACAGAAATCCGCAGATCCAGCATTCGTAATAGGATGAACCTTGATGAGCTGGGCAGTTGGAACAGATTTTGCGGATTTCGAAGTGAACAGAGATCTTAAGTTAATATTCCAATGTGTGCTGAGCCATACTAAACTTTGCGCCGTGATGATTGTCCCACACCACACAAAAGTCCATTCTTGCCCGCCGATGTGTTGATCGTATAAGTCTTGCGAGAGATAGTATCGAAAGAAGACAGGCCATATAATCGCAAAGGGCCAGATATAAGTATGCAACCAAAGCGGTACTGAGATCAGTTAGAATCGTGCATCGACTATTGAATGGCGGGGTTCAACTCACATGGATTATGCAATGTTGCGGATGCAATCATGGGATTATCCACCAGAGGCGCCATTGCGCAGGTTGGTAAGTGAAAGGGTTACGTTGAAGCTGTTCACAAAATTCTCCAAGGCATAGGTGGCACTGAGTTTATCATCATCGAAGAAGTCGGAACATCGGAGCTTCAATGTTCGCTTAATCATATTTCAACGTGAGGGTGGTATCACGTGCAAGAGCCATTCTGATACATTCCTGCTGAATGTTTCTTTTTGGCCTTCAACACCGTCATTTCTCTGGAAAACTAAGTGAAGTACAGCAATATTTTGAATCATATACTTGTATTCATTCTTTGAGCCGGACTGATACCCAATGATCCATCACAGGAAGCATCACCTTCCAATCCAACCAGATGTTCCTATCAAAAATGACCTCGGGAGGCACATCGACCTGTATGGGTGTGTTCAACACTTTTGATTTCCAGAAATCTCAATAGGTAATCTCAAAAGTACCTGCTATATGAACATTCAATGCAATTGCTTTCCTTGCCACAATTAATATTAATGTTCTTTGCAGAGTTCAAAAGAGATGAATATCATTCCCTCAATTGATATTCCAATCAGAACATTGAAGCCATATCCTTACGCACATTATATATATACATCGTCAAACAAAGTTCAATCACAATCATTCAGTCTGAACATACGAGTACAGATTTGACATTTGTTTAGTAACAATGCACGGATACTTTGCCACTATACGCCGCAATCGGGTGTTCTGAGCTTCTGATGGGTTCCCACACACCTGAGGCTATCTTTCCTTTGCTCACCGATAGATTTCCTACATGAGCCATGATTACTTTCCATACCCCCGGATAGGCCATCAAGTCTCTAAGGCTGAAAGTCCCCGCATCTCACACTCCATTGCATATCCAATCCTCGGAACTCCCCTCATAGATTTGCGGATGTAGGCGTGAAAGCTACAGACCGACTCAAATGTATTGAGCCCGAAACGATAGGTTATCTATTTAGCGCTCACCACATCTATCGAGTTACCAGAAGTGTATCAAGATGATAATGAAGGATGTAAGTTATCAAGCAACACGATATCAGCCCGGGGTAATTTACCACATTAGCATGATACTAGGCCCATCGAGAGGCTAGGTCCGGTGAGGATTATCTTTTGGAACGTCTAACTGGTAAATGAGGGCCAATATCGGAGCTGCCAAGTGGCCAAGCCAAAAAGTTAGCAGCTTGGTTGCTTGGCGGTAATCAGCACTTCCACACGAACAAATAGAATCTTCAAATTTTTGATTGTCAGAAAGATAAGACTTTTCAATGCGGGCGAATTTCAGAGAGGTATATAGTTATTGCTGTGGTACAGTGTCTTGATTTCAGTGAATTCTGTGTTTCGGAACGAACCGACCAGAGATCTAACTACAATCCATTCTATTATCTCGTTGAGAATTTCCTGGTTGATCATGGTTGGTTGGGATACCAAACTCAACGATGCTGTTGCCGGCAGCATCGTCGGAAGAAGATTTCGTCTTGAAGGTTCTGGTCATGTAAAGTCAAGAGAGGGGTCAAGATTTCTGACAGAAATTCGTGCTGGATTGGCGACATTCTTCGCAATGGCATACATTATTTCTGTATGTTCTTGTCTCTTCAGTTATATCACCTGATCCAATCATTCACAATCACGAGAAGGACAGCCTCTCCTTCAAAAGTTCATTGCAGGTTGGGTTGGCTCGGTCTTCGATATCAGCTGACATCGAAAATTCAGGTTAATGCCACCATTCTCACCGATAGCGGTGGAACTTGCGTTTGCACCGACACGACTGATCCTACTTGTGCCAACGATGTTGACTACAATCTCTGTCTTGGAGTTATCCGTCGGGATTTCATCACTGGAACTGCTGCCATCTCTGCTCTAACGTCATTCTGTATGGGACTATTTGCAAACATGCCAATTGCATTGGCTCCAGGGATGGGTCTGAACGCTTACTTTACTTACACGGTCGTTGGATTTCACGGACTCGGGCCCGTTTCATATAGACTTGCCCTCACTGCGGTCTTTGTTGAAGGTTTTGTGTTTGTAGCATTATCGTTACTTGGATTGAGACAATGGCTAGCGAGAATCATCCCCGCTTCCATCAAACTCGCTTCTGGAGTAGGAATCGGTCTTTATTTGAGTAAGTATAACATTACCATGAGAAGACCCCAACACTAACTATCGGACAGCAATTATTGGTCTTGGATACAGTGCAGGTCTTGGTGTTATCACAGGGTCTCAATCTACCCCCCTTGAACTTGCAGGATGCGTCGCTAGTGCTTTCGACGAGACCGGTGTTTGTCCTGGATCCACTAAGATGCGTTCGCCTACTATGTGGATTGGAATATTCTGTGGTGGTTTTGTGACTGCAATTCTTATGGCATATCGCGTTAAGGGTGCAATCATTGCTGGCATTTTGTTGGTAGCGATCACCTCCTGGCCAAGAAATAGTTCGGTCACCTACTTTCCACACAACGATCCTACCGGTGATTCCAATTTTGACTTCTTCAAGAAAGTTGTTACGTTCCATGGGATTCAGGAGACACTTGTGGCACAAGACTGGGACGTGGCTGGCGTTACAGGACAATTTGGCCTGGCTTTGATTACTTTCCTCTATGTCGACATTTTGGATTGTACGGGAACACTGTATTCCATGGCACGCTTTTCCGGAGCCATTGATGAAGAGACTCAAGATTTCGAAGGTTCAGCTGTAGCATATCTTGTCGATGGTGAGAGTTACTCACCCCCTTTGATTTCAATCGCACTAATTTCTTTGCAGCTTTCGGCATTTCTATCGGCTCACTTTTTGGGCTATCACCAGTTACGGCATTCATTGAGTCCGGCGCTGGAATTTCTGAGGGTGGTAAAACTGGTATCACTGCTATGGTTACAGGCATTTGCTTCTTTATTTCGATCTTCTTCGCGCCTATTTTCGCTTCCATTCCACCTTGGGCTACAGGGTCCACTCTGATTATCGTCGGTGCCATGATGTGCAAAGCTGCCAAGGATATCAACTGGAAATATTGGGGCGATGCACTACCAGCTTTTATTACATTGGCTGTGATGCCATTCACATATTCTATTGCATACGGTTTAATTGCCGGTATCATTTCATACACGATTATCAACACCACAACCTGGGCATTAGAAAAGATTTCCGGTGGCCGTATTGTACCATACGATAAGGAGTTCAAGGAGCCATGGACATACAAGATCAAGGGTGGTATTCTGCCAGCTTGGCTTGTAAGAGCTTCGAAGGGGTAAGTTCTTGAGCCATACTTCAAGTTAAGAAAGTAAATGCTAATATTTTCCATTAGAAAGAAAGACTTTTGGCACGAGGATCCACCGATCAACACTTCATCAGCGGGTTCTTTCTCGGCTGGGGATTATGCGGATAAATCACGTGTTGAACCTCAACCTGTAACTCGTGCCATCGATGAGTCGAAGGCTGGTGAGAAATTGGCTTAATATGTGTCTCTCGTTTCAATTTTGAAAAGAATTTGTAGAATATGTTATAAAGAGCGGGAAATGATTATCGGTGTTGAATGAGGGATTGGAGATACCTGGTGGGAAAAATATGGAAAGCGAGGGTTGAGTACCTTCCTATATAATTATATTACTTTAAGCAACAAACAATCAACACTACTTGTTAATATCAAAATATTACTTGGATCTTTATTCAGCTGCAACTACAACTTCAACCCCATCGGCCGTTTAAACCACACGATTTTGCAACTTCTTCTCATACTAGTCCTTTGTGATTTATGCGAAAGTATTGTTTGTCTACGTGGAGGAAAAGATCCGGACAGGTTATTGTCAACTAACGAGCCCATTTTCTTCCAAATATATTATAATTCTGTACTAAGCACATATCTAGCTTTGGCCGCTAGAGAGAAATACAGTCTTTACATTCAAGCTGGGGAGGTTTGTATAGCGAAACGACCTCTAGATGGATATCGATTGAGCACTCAACCCTCATATTACATATTGAATTTTGTGAATATTGCAGAAGCTGATAATCCTCCTGAGGAACGCGATCAATGAATAGGTCAGTATTTTATTCTGGTCGGAGTTCTACTAATGACTCGGGATTGTATCAACTTATCGATCGTGCTATTAAGCTACTTTATGTAAATAATGTTCAGGCGAGGTTAAGTCGGTATATTCGTATCATATTGGAGAGATTTTGGAGGAAGTGGGAAAGTCGTGGTGTTTTGTAGATTGGAAGAGGTGTTTTTGTATGGCATACCTAGGTAGGTAGGTAGGTTATTCTGATGATATCAGGTACTTTGAGAGGTGTACTTTGTTTATGCATTGTCGTTGCGAAAAATGTGTCAACTATTAGCTAGTTCTTGATAAGATACTGATACTCAAAGACGATGAACATTTTGCTAAGGAGGAATGTCAGATTGTTTTGAGCTCTGGTCTCTGGTGGTGACGCTCATGCGTGGGGGTTTGGATACTTTCGAGGGATTGGAATTCTCTCTTGAAATCGGAAGAGAGAAGAGAGTGATGATATATGTTTCCTTGTACGATACTTGCTCGAGACTTGGTAATGAATAAATCCTCTTTCGTCACGTGCATCATTAGGGGTTTGCGGAGGACGAGGAGAGGAGTTGAATTGGTGTGGTGTTTTAGATGTTAAAGATATTGAGTTTCCTGGTATTGCGATATCGTGATTGTTCTTTCGTTCGACCATGGCAGTACCGGTATCTTTGCTGAATGGTATGGCTATGGTATTATTTCATAGGTATATGAAGTATCTATATAGATACCCATCTATCAAAGACTCATTGCTCAAATCCACACTCGCAAGATGGAGTAATTTACTTGTGACTAACAAGTCATGCGATTTTGACTGTTACATGTTATCCCCTAAACCACCAACTCAGGACTCCTTTATAGTCTATACATTAAGTAAAAATATCAATAACCTTATAAATAATATTAAAAATAAAAATGCTTATATTTAAAATCAAAAATTCAAATTTCTTAAATAAATTATAATAAATATATGAAGTTTATTTCTATATGTTTTTAATTAAAAAAAATTGATTGAAAACTTTTATAAATATTATTATATTTTGTTTTTTAAAAGAAAAGAATTTTAGATATAATTTATAAATAATTTATAATAATATTGTTTTTATATAAAAAATAATAATACATCTTTATATATATATATATATACAGTTCTATATTCATATACTATACTAAGAGCGATTCACAGGATCACATGACCAATCACGTGATCGTCGCTTATAAGCTTCCGAAAGCGACCATACGAAAACGACCGTATTTAGCTTCCGAAAACGACCATTATTAGTTTCCGAAAACAACTATATTAGATTCCGAAAACGACCATTAATAAAGAATAAGAAAAGGAGCTTTATTTCGAAGGAATGGCCGAATTAGGAAGAGATTTATGAGAGATAAACGAAAGCGGAAAGCTAGGATAGAATGGAAAAGGTATATAATATAGGCTTTTTCCCTCTTAATATAGGATAAGAAATTCAATATTACAATACAGATTTCAAAATATTATGTGTTTTTATTGCTTTTTAGTTGTTAAATTGAGCCAGCTTTTTATAATAGATTAATATTAGTCTAATCCCTTTTATATTTTATATATATTTTATATCTATATATCTATTTATAACCTACAATAGGTTATAAGCCCGGTATCTCATATCTACAATTAAAATACAAGTTTATACACATCGATATTCGATTCGAAAAAGTAAGGAAAGGGTTGTACGACTGAAAATCAGTCAAAAAAGCAACCGAAATCCGAGTATTTAACGAAATCGTATTCAAAATCTATTGAGTTGATATGTATTCACTCAATCAAGATGTTATACATATCACCTAAGCGCATACATACGCTAATACAAGCGTATATCAATCCCGAATCTATATTCAAGTTTTTAGTTTATATATACTAGTATAGTATTAATATAAAAACTATATTACACAAAAGGAATATTATTTAATAGTGCTATACACTATCAATACTATATATTATCGGCAATATAATAATCCCCTTACTACACCGGACATAATGGATTTAAATATCATACCTTATTAAAGATATAAAGCTAGTTATCGCTTATATACGAACCCTTATCGAATCATCGAATCCTTATCGAATCACCAAACTTTTATCGAACTATATAGCTATCGATTTATATATATATATATATATACGTATACAAATCCTTATCGAACTATCGAACTCTTATTGAATTATCGAATCCTTATCGAACCATCGAACCTTTGTCGATTGATATATACTTCACTTATATTATTAAATTATATATATATATATATATATATATATATATTATATAGAACTTGTAAGTGAAGATATATTTATAAGAGCAATTAAAAAATTCCAAAAGTTCCAAGATAATAGAAAATATAAAGTAATTCAATACAAAAGCAAGGAAGAAACTAGGAATAATAGCAATTTCCTTACAAAATTACAATTTCAAATAATAGTTCGATATTATCTAATAATTTAAAAAAACGAAATTCAAGTTGAAATAGATCAATTAGGTATCGAGGATTCAGTATATAGTTATATAGTATATTATAATTATAAAGATATTATATATTCGGATTTATTACTTGTAGAATACACTGTTTGGTTTTTATATTATATACAGAACGCTATAATATATAATTATATCGATCCGAATTACAATCTAATCAACTTCGAAATCCTAAATATCTTTTATATATTGAATTTAATTCGAAAAGAGGAGGCTACTTTAATTAAAAAAGAAATCCTTTATTCCTATATAAATACTATAATAAATATTAAATAAATATATTATATATATTTATTTATATATAGAATTAGTATGAAACTATTCTGAATAGTCGATAAAAGGATATACGAAAAAACTAAATAATACGGAATACAATATTATTTAATACGAAACAAGAAGGGAATACTATATAAATAATAGTAACCTATATAATTATATTGTTTATTCAATAAGGGTTATATATCAACCAATAAAAGAAAGAATCGAAAATCCAGAAGATTCTATTTATAGCTTAACTATATTGTATAATTATAATAGAAAAACTATTAGGAGAAATTCTAATCTTATTATTAAAGAAATCTAAAATTCAACCTATTACGGAGGTAATAGCTATATCTAATAATTACTTTGATTAGAGAATAGATATGTAAAGTAATAATAAACTAGATTGATTTGAGGTATAATCTTAATAATTATATTTGTTTTATATATTCTAATCAAATAAGATATTTGTTTAATTAGATATATAGAGTATATAAATGAAATGAATGAAATAATGTTAGTAATTATAGGAGTGAGTATTTTGAAGAAGTATTGGGATTAATGCTTATAAGATTATATTATATAATAAATTCCGTGATATACCCTCTAGATTACTAGATATTTTGATGGTTATACCAAGTGATTTATATAATAAACAAATAAAAAATTCTTAGATAGTAAGTAGTATAAGTATTAGTAAGTATTTTATTTGAATAATTATTATAAATTTATTTATTAGATAGATTTATTTATTAAATAAAAGAATATAAAATATATAAATATATAGAGTTTTTTATAAAAGAAAAGAGTAAATTATATTATTTATTTAGACAATCTATAAGAAAATAACAATATTAAAATAAGGGAATTAATTCTTTGGATTGATGTATATCAGGAGGCTTGAATTATATTGATTATTATTAACTAGATATTTATATTAATTAATTTGATTGATTTGTATATATAGCGTTTTTATAGTAATAATAGAATTAAATAGAAACTAATGGATTTTGGGGGATATAGTGAATCAAGATAATTATAAGAGAGAGATAGTTTTCTTTTTTTAATCTTTATATTCGATAATTTGATATATTCTTTAAATATGCCTTTTCCTTTCAGAGAATCCCTTGATTCTGTTGATATTTCTGGTCGATATATAACTACCTCTTTGTATAATATACTGAAAAGTGATATTTAATTTAATAAATCAAATACTTAATATATTTCTACTTAATTATTATTTTTTATTAAGATTTGATTATTTTCTAATAAAAGAACTTTACGAATAAAGCTTTTTTTAATAAATTTCAATAAAATTCTGATAATAACTTTTTAAAGAAAATTAAAATTATTTATAATTATTGGATTGAAGTAAATAAATATTATATAATGATTACTTTTATAGAATACAATAATCTCTTTATTAATAATACAGATAAAGATTATTTTCCTAATCTTCCTTTCAACAATAAAAATTCCTTATCAAAAACCCCTTTCTTCTCGAATAAATTTATTCTTATATTTAGATTAAATAAACCCCAAATATCTACTCACAAAGCTTATAATAAATGTAAATAAAAAGATTCTAGATATAATCTTAAAAATAAGGATATACAAAACTCTATTCTTTATATAAAGTATATTCATTTTTTTCTTTTTGATTATTATAAAGAGTATAATAAGTATTTTAAATAGAAAAATGCTTTTTTTTTTTAATATTAAAAGTATATTATATATACTTATATACTTCTTTTAATGTATTTGAAATCTTTAACTATTCGATTATTGGAATTTTATAATTCTGAATTTATAATACTTCCTGAAAAGGTATATTCTAATCTTTTTATATTATT